TTCCTGGGAGGAAGAGGAGGGAAGCAAGCAGGCCAGGAGTGCTGATGTTTGATTTTACATGCTCTTGCTGTCTACCAAGAAGGCAAGCTGGAGCCGACTTGAAGTGCTTTGGTGTGAATGGGATTCCCTTCCTCCCAAGAAGTGTGGGAAAGTGGATATGGATTCACTTAATGAGATTTTTCCTACAAATAATTAGTTCTAGTATTTACTCTGTATATGTGTGTGTATAGCAAAAGCTACTGTTTTGTTGGGAACACTAATTTCAGGATTGACACTTGAAACTGGAAAGTTTTTTGGAAAAACTTGCTGCCTCAATATATTTTGTTAAACTGAAAAAGAAAAACCAACCCCAAGTTTCTTGATTTACTGTCCTGTTCACCACATATTACAGAATAACCAACTTGACTTTCTCCATGGAATTGCGTTTTACACTGACATTTAAAAAAAAAAGTGTGCGTGTGCACTTAAGTGTTAAATAGAGGACAGAACACTGAAATCAAAATCAGTAGAACCTAAACTCTTCCAATATCTTAGAGTATGCTGACAAGCTTGCAGTTAAAGGTGGTTGGGAACTTCTACTCATAATGATTTACCGGTGGAAATGCACGTTTCCCAAAACTGAAAAATTTTGCTGAAAATAGCTGGTTAGCTGCTTGGGACAAAAGGGGAGAGAGAAGGGCAATATCACCAGCTCTACTTAACATGAAGTTTGTCAGGACCTAAATGTAATTATTCTTGTTAACAAAATGATGTAATCTACAAATAATACTATGTACAACTTCAGTGATGTTTATGCAGAAATATCTTTGGGATTTCATTATGTCTTGAGAGCACAATTTATAATTATTATGACTTAGCAGAATAAGTAGCAAAAAATAGGAGCTCTAATGTAGAAAAAAAGTTTAAAGTCATTGGAAGACAGAATACTCAAAACTTTTCTCATACTCTTCTATCTTAAAAAAAAAAAAAAAATGAAGAAAAAAATCCAGAAGATAACAGCCAGATTGTGGTGGCAGAGAGGATGGTATGTGACAACGGATTTGAAGCATTCTGTGGAGTCTTAGGCATCAGTGAACACTGTAACCTGAAGGTCACACCTGGTAACTTTCTTGCTACTGATAGCACAGTATGAGTGACACCAGTGGACGAATGCTCCTGTCCTTCCCGAGCTGTATGATCTTCCACTTCCCCTGAATAATCCTAAGAGCAAACACAAATAAAAAAATATATATATAAAATCAGTAAAAATGCAAATATTACATGTGCCAAGGTGCAGAAATGTAATTTGCAATGCTGCATTCATGAATGTTTGTCAGTTTATATCACTGAAAGATTTAGGCTAGGTCTGTACTTAAATTTGTACCAGCAGAGCTATCAGCTGTGAATGCAGGGGTAAAACATCTCCAGAACCAGTGTAGCTGCTATATTTCAGGTCATGAGCTCCAGTGAAGGATGGCAAGGAAGGAATAAGGAGGACTCAGGCCTGGATCAGTGATTATCTGGACTTCATCTGCAGATAAAAGACAACGATGATGACTTTTAGGCATCCCCCCAAAACTCAAAGCAAAGTCTTTGAAACTCAAAGTAAAAAACCAACCTGTTATTAGGTGGCAGAAATGAAGCTGACTAAGTAGACTTGCTCTAAATTGTTTTTTCTTGTTGATACCAAAAGGATTGGCTCTTCTCAGAAACCTGTGCTCAGTGGGAAACGCTGTGCATGGCTGTGGGTGCCTAATGTCACAAGGGCAGCTGCTACTTTAAATAGATATGAGTGGCAGAAATAGATCTTTGAGAATTCTGCTTTTAAACAGGAAAGAGTACTTATATAGGAAGAGTATTTATATAGGAATCAATCTAGAGTGGGAAAAAAATTTTTCTAAGTACTTTTTTTTTTTTTAAACTGTTTCTGGAAGCCTTTTTATTCATAATTCCTGAGCTGAGTAGGCAACAACTTCTGCTGACCACAAGGCTTTTGTGATCTCTTATATTGCTTTTAAAAAGACTTTTTATTTTCTTGAAACAGGGATAAAAAAAAACCAAACCAAAAAAACCTGCCTGTCTGAAGCAAACAAGTTTGCATTCTGGTTCAGAGAGACGGTCCATAGTCCTGACAGTTAGCAATCTGTCATTAGAGCATGGTTTAGGTACGATTTTAATTGGGAAGCTCCTGCCTCCTTGTGGCAAGAACCTTCACCTTTCTTGAATCAAAATAATTGAACTGGATACCTAATACCTTTGTAGAACAAATGTATAGCTAAACAAACAGAAAGCAGGAAGACCAGATGGTTTGTTAGCTTTGCTACTCTATTTGAGCATTATCACTTGTGAATAGTATTTTAAAATAGGCATAATTTAAATGGATAAGCTTATTGCAACTTTTTTTTTTCCTGCAGCTGCTTCCTCCATCTTTCTTTCCAACATGCTACAGAAATTAATTCTAGGAAAGTAGAGTACTGACCTAGGAGAACCCCCAACAAGTTTGGTATTTGTATAAAAAGTAGTTGACAAGTCATTGATGGGTGTCAGTGCAGTACTCATTTGTGTTCATCCTGCAAGGTATCTGCTTCCATAATGGCACTATTTGCTTTCAACTGTAGGAAACATTCAGTTATAGCTTCCTTCCTAGTGACTCCAAAGCTTTTGTGACATCTTGATGTGCTTCATGAAATTTTTTCTCTGTTCAGAACATGGGAAAATAAAGCTGGCATCTGTGAAGAGAAACATTCATCTTTGTACTCCTTCCTGTTTCTTTTGCCTTTGGTAATTGGTGTCAACTGATGTCATTCTGTACCTACATATCCTGAGAGCATATGGCATTATCTAAACTGTTTTCACGCCTGCTGGTCAAACAGGGTCGTGAAACTGTGGCAGCTTCAGACACCCATAAGACAGCCTAACATGGGAAAAAGAAGGTTTTCACTGACTTGGTTCGTAACCTCTCTGATTTCCCAAGATTAGACTCATATTTCTCGCAAGGTCTTATCTGAGAAATGTGTTGCAACCATGCTGATTTAAACAGATTAAAACAACCAACAAACGTCTCATCACCACACTCTCCAAATGTGAAGTCATTCCATTTTAGAACCTGAAACTACTACTGAGATCAGTAGAAGAAACAGATGGAATTTAATTTGCAATAGTTAAGACTCCCTGTATTGCTATTTTTATGTAAACAGAAATCTTAATACATGGGATTTCCTCTTCCTAATATGTTGTAACAACTTCTAATTAAAACACTGATGCCTGTGCTCAAGAAACGCCAGACGGAGACTGCAATCTTTACATGAACGTAAGATACTGAGTTCAGATACTTGATAAGCAGCATTTATAATGCTATGTTTACATGGCTTGTCCCTAAGCCATTTCACTGTATGTAGTTTTAAAGCTGGTTCCCACACAGAACTATATCCATACCAAATGCTGGAGTGCTATTATGAAGGGTAGATGATGCGATGATCTGGTAGAGTATAAGGATTTTATGGAGAAACCAAACTGCAGTTAAAAATGGCTGCCACAGTAGGCATCTGCATTTGCAAAGCCCTACTTTCCCAGCTGTAGTAATCTACAGTTTAATCTGTGCCGGCTGTAAAAACATTAGCACTTTGGACATGTAAGTATTGAAATTAGTGAAGCTACTCTGTGGCTGGAACAAGCCTTCCTAGCATGAAAAATAGTTCCAACATATAATGTTATCCCTCTGTGTCCTGATGGCAGCTGGTATGACTTGAAGTGCTGCAGTTACTTTATAGCTTCTCAGCTTGTTCCAAAATATGTCTGAGGTGAATTTAACATGATATAAACATAGGGATAGCTATCATCAGGGAGAGACAGCTGTGTAACAATATTCAGGACAATAAAGATAGCTCTCAGGATATTTATTAAGAGAACAGTCCTGCAAGATGGCCTCTGCAGGAAGGACGTACATCACAAATGCCACATTATAAGAGTTATTATACACAAACAGCTGCTAAGGCTCATCCAGGGCTGTTGGAAGCTTCAGATTAGGTAGAGGATATATTCTAAAGAAAATATTTGTCTCTTCTTTTGATACTAAATTCATATTGTTTAGGGTTCTTTAGTTCACTTGAGTTGATGGTAAATGTTTGTAAGTGAAGGTCACCAAATTACCAATGTGCAGCAGAAATCCAAGTGATGTGGGAGTTCCTGTTTAAGTTTTTCAGTTACTGGTAACTAGACGATTGATGACAAATATATGTTCCAGTTGAAACATGACTTGCACAACAGCTCTGCGGAGTTTTGATTGTGAGACTTGGTTATTTCTCTGCAATGGAATCATAAACAAAAGCATGATGCTCTTTTGGTTTTCTGTACAAAGTATGAAGTAAAATAAAAATGATGATAAGCAAACCTTACTTCTTGCGAAACTGCAGGAATGTGGTTTTGCACGTATTTGTTTCCAAACTGTCAGCTCCCACAAAGGAGTGAAAAGTCACAGTAAGTTCTGATTAAAATCCTGCAGGTATAGTAACAAGGGCTAGGTAGATATTGGCTTAGGTGTAATCAATGTGGCAAAATTAGGTCGTCAATAAGGTGCGTACCTGTACCTGTGTTTACTGTAAGTTCAAATCTAAGAGACTCTTCTCAGAGCAGGTCAGCAAGAGGATGAGAGGCCACTATCACAGGTAGCAGCAAGGGAGAGTCCAGTTGAATATTATTTTAAAAAAAAATATTATCACAATGTGAATAAACAAGCACTGGAACAGGGGTCTGGAAAGGTTGTATAATCTTTTTCCTTGAAGACAACAACCCGATCTAACTTTGAAGTTACCCTAGCTGGGACCAGGTGGCTGGACTATATGACATCCCACCAGAAATCCCTTCCAACCTAAATTATTCTGTGATGAGGGGCACCTATTTCTAAAACAGTATAAACAGAGCAGCGTTAAACACATCGTATGTTAGTGAGCAGATGCGTGATGGACTGCACAAACAGCCTGCCGCAAGAGGGAGGAAACGCCGGAGTTTGAACACGGCTCAGCAAAACCCTTCTGGGTTCCCTGGGTGGGCGGTAGCTTTGTTGAAAGCTCTCTCACAGGCCTTATATCTCTGAAACGGGTAATCTCCAAATGTCTGTTGAGCGTGAAGCCTGTGACATGTAAGCTAAAGAAAGAGGACGTTTCTTGATTGCTGCTCTGATGCCAGGAGGACCTGGTGCCAAGCTTTAGCTGTTGCATCCAACACAGTGGAATGTGGATTTCGACTCTGCTGCATTTTCCTAAGAAGGTAACCTGCTCCAAAGAGCCTTTAGATAAACAAGAAAAAGCTATAAATCTCATGTCAACTTCCACTTTTCAACTCTGCTCAGTCAGCATGGAAAAAAGCTGTGTGGGTTTTGTATTTTAAATGTTGTTTAAATAGGGGTGCCTAATATACCATGTTCTTTATTTAGTGTAGTGCTTGCAATACTCCTTCAATTTTCAGGAATTGATTTCTGAATGATGATATTTTATGTGTCTTCTTTTACCTAAACAGTTTAAAAGGCAAATGAGTGTTTCTGTCAAAGTATAAAGAATATTTTGCATGAAACCTAGAAGGTACTTTTCTATAGCAAATCTATAGGAGATTCTTGTAGCTACCAAGAATAGCATTTTTTGTATAAATAGGAGGACTGGAGATTTGGTAATGTATAGATAAGTGTAATTTCTGTTAGCACTCAAACCGCTTGAGGAACATGTAGGTACACTTCCTGCTTAAAAATCTTCCTGAAAATCGTTGTGGACTTCATATTGATAGAAAAATAGTAAATATTTGGACCAAAATTTAGGATGCATTGTAGTTTTTATAGCAACAGAACAGTGTTACTGTGGGAACAAGGCTTGGTACCTTCTCATACAGCATTTTGAACTGACAAATTATGTGGATTTCTGGAATAGCAGTTACACTGTACTATGCCACGGAGTACATAATAAGCTATAAAATTTTACTGTTCCCTTTAGAGTCATTTTGTCAGGATCTGGCAGAGTTCTAGAGATACAGGTTGCAGATCTGATCTATATTTTGGTTTGAGGAATTTGAAACCAAAAAAAGGCCTGCAGAAACTAATTTGCTTTTGTGATGACAGCTTGACAAAATTCTGATGCTTGGGCAATTTTTTGACCTTTCCTTTTTAACATTTTGCATGCTGAGTTGCCATAAACAAATTTAACATTTTCTAGATTAGAGATACAAGGATTTTTTTCACTGTGGTAACAAAGTCTGCATTTGTGGTTGAAAAGGTAAGTCTGTATTTGTGCTTTGACACTTGAGGGAAATCTCCATGGTTGCCACAAAGCAGAAAAGAAACAACTTCTATTGCTCTCTGTCCTTTACAGTTCTGTAGAAGTGCTGTTTCACTGAAGTTTTTAGGTCTCACAATGCATCTATGTTTCTGATGCATGTTTATGAAAGGAAAACTTCTTCTCTAAGACTGCACTCCCATCTGAGCAAGGTTTTCGAGGATGATTGTGTTTCCAGGTAATTGCTGTTCCTCAGAAGCTGTCATTTGCATGCCATGACCAGAAGAAAACAAAATGCTTTCTTTTAGATTGGAAAAATGTGGGCAGCACAACAACAACCAAAAAAGCGCCCATGGTGTGTTTGAAAATGCTCTCTTTAAAAGCTGTGAGGCAGAGGCAGGTAAACTCCACTGTGGCACAAGTACTAAAATAGGCTTTCTTGTGCTTAAGCAAAGTTCATTACCTCCTGAGAGTGCAATATTTCCACAGGCTACATCCATTATGGTTAAACTCGGTTGTTAATGCTCAGTAATGCTCATCCTTGTCGCCTTTGTCAGTCTCTCTCACTATTTTGTAGTATTGTTTTTTGAAAGCAATATCCCAACATTTCCAGAATATTAAAAATATTTTGGAACTGGACAAAACCCTGACAAAAAGAATGAGTCTTTCAGGAGTAGGGGCTGGAGGGGACATAGTTTGCACTGACCCTGGCATGGAGAAGAGCACATGTTAAACAAGGGACAGGGCAGGTAGCCCAAATGGGGTGTCTGGGAGGAAGAGCATTCCTTTTATATATATCTGCTGTCTATAGCTTTGACACCTGTTGTGATCTATACAGTAGGGAGTACCTTCACAGAGGGGAACCCTGGAGTAGTTGTTTGCTCAGGTCCATATGTGCTATTCAACGGGTTCTAGTTTGCGTTCCAGGAAAGCAGTATCGTCAGATCTGAGAAAGAGGAGACTGCACATTAGCAAAGAAGCCAGCTGACTCCCTGCATCAAATGCTCCTGGCCAGCCCTGCCACTGACGTCAGCACTCTTAAGCTGGGCACAGTTTTGCCTGATAATATGTGGTCTGCTACAGTGCTATAGAAATAGTTCTCAGGCTGTTCTGGTTTGTTCTGCCTTGAGGAAATTATGCCATAAAGCGTAACTGTCTTGAAGTTAAAAGAATTTCAGTAACTTAGGATTTCTGAGACTATAGTCCTCATCATTAGTAATTAGGTTAAAAAATGTATATCATTAGCAGAGCTCCTATTTACTTTAAAATTACTGGATACAGTAATTTGAATTTGTCAGAAAGTCTTAAAAACTGTGGACAGGAAAAAACAATGGTGAAGTAAAGGATGAGAACCTAATAGGAAAGAACTCTAGTAGTTGTCCTTTTCTTAAGGGAAGTTATGAGAAATCTTTCTGGAATCAAAACATTTTTAACTGTAATAATAGATTTTTTTATGGAATTATTTTGAAGGAGAAAGCAATGAAACTCCTACACTTCAGCTGCAATGAAATCTTGCCAATTGAGGCTATATTGCATCTGAAAAACTTGCAGTCTATATGTGTAGATAGCATGGATAGCTTGTGTGGTATCCAAGGATCCACTTATATTCAAGGCTGAAAGCTAAGCGTGATTTTATATGTGAAAGTGTACTGTATATGTCCCTAGTGCATTTCTCTTTCCCAGGAAGTCTGGGACAAGCTATCCTGCTTGTTTCTTTCTCTTCCCTAGAGACCCTGAAACACCTTCTAACTGTATTTATTCCCCTTTATCCCTGTTTTAAGCAATAAATTTAACAGCACCATGTTTTGTCATTGCTTGGTGGCACTTCATTGCACAGGCAGGGAATTATGTTTAATTATTATTTAAGGAACAGCAGAATCCATACTTTTGCCAGCCATCAGCAAGGAAGTTTTTACCTAGGGTCCTGGTCACCTTGTGTTGTTTGTGCTGTTGCAGCTGAGCTGCTGCCATGACCAGAGGTAGTTAATTCAGAGCTACACTAGGATTATCTGCATGAGGTCTCAGCATAACTGGCCTGGGGCGGGGGGG